AAAAGCCAGAATATCTACAAAAGCAGTATTGTATTGAAAATGATATCCTATATAAAAAGGTTAAGATTAGCAACGAATATAAATTAGTACTATGTTTACCAGTAATAAAAGTTTTAGAAATCCTTTACTTATATCACGATGATATCTATGGTGGTGCACATTTGGGAATAAATAAAACCTTAAGTAAACTAATATGTCGTTACTACTGGCCTAACATGAAAAACGATATATTTGATTATGTAAATTCATGTCTCGATTGTCAAACTAAGAAAAAGCCATTAATACCAACAGCAGGGTTAATGGTACCTATTATACGCGACGCCCCTTTAGAACTAGTAGGTATCGATTACTTAGGCCCTTTCAAAGTATCTAAAGATAAGGAAAATGTTCACATAATTGTTGCAACAGATTATTTCACAAAATATGCTATAACAAAAGCAACGCCCGAGGCAACAAAAGAGTCGGCAGCACAATTTGTTATAGAGCAAATAGTTTGCACCTTTGGTAGCATTAAAACATTGCTAAGTGATAGAGGTACACAATTCACAGCTAAATTTAGCCAAAAATTGTACAATGAGTTATCTATAAAACATGTTACCACTACGGCCCACCATCCACAGACAAACGGATTAACCGAAAGGTTTAATCAAACTCTAGCGAAAATGCTGTCCGCTTATGTAAACAAAGTTCACACCGATTGGGATATCCAATTACATTGGGTTACTTTTGCATATAACTGCTCAGTGAATGCCACTACAGGCTTCACTCCATATAAACTAATGATGGGTAGAGATCCGATACTCCCACCGGATAGGAGATATAGTGAACCCATGGTAGGTTATAGCAATGAGCAGCAGTATTTAGATTCAATAAGAGACATAATAACCTATACACATGAGAAAGTTATTCATAGCATACAGAAAGCTGCTGAAAGGAATAAAAGAAATTATGACAAAAAACATAGAGATGAGGAATACATTGTCGGTCAAAAAGTATTCGTACTCTATCCTAATCAGATCCCCAAACGTACATCCAAATTACTTCATTATTATCACGGACCATTTAGTATAAGTAAAATCTTCCCTAACAAAGTTAATGTAGAAATCGAAACTAAAGAAGGAAAGCGAAAGCTATCCGATGTAGTACATGTAAGTCGATTACGTAAATATACCGACAGGGATGAACTTATAGATAGATTAGAAAAGCTAACAGAAATACCAATAAATGACATCAATATTGATAGTTATAGCTCAACATCATCAACAATCAGTGATGATGAAACTGAGATTTATGAAATTAATGAACCAGAATTGAATACACCAATTGAACAAAACATTGAAACAAATATTGATGTTAAAATTGAAAACCAAAATAACAATAACTCAAATAATCTTAGGCGTTCAACTAGGGTTAAAAAACCGAGAAAATTATTTGATCTTTTATTGTATACATTACTATTAATCCTTACTTTAAATAGTTCTCATTGCTCATTACAAAAAATGAACCCATTGGTTTGGAGGGTATCCAAGAAACCAGTGATTACAGGAATAAATAGAGTTTTATTAACTGCCAGTTACGACAGCCCTTGCGATATCTTCTTGCGTAAATCTTTTATTCCTGAAGGAAACAAGGAATTACATGAATGGTGTGAAAAACAATTATATAATGACTTTGTAAAACCCCTTAGGAAAATGTGTAAAAGCCCTTATGAAATGCCACTTAATCAATTAGTTAAGCCTCGCAACAAACGAATAGCTATTATGGCCATAGCCTTAATTGCCATATTTGTAGTTTCCGTCTCTACCACAATAGGAGTATCTGCACACGCAATTGTTCAAGCGAAAAATAACAAGTTAGAAATCGAAGACTTAAAAAAAACCAATGAAAGGTTAGTTGAGAGTATGGCAACCTTAGAGAAAAATGATGAAAGAGTTAACAGAGTAATTGAATTACTCCATAGAGAGATAGAAAATTTAGGGTATGAAGTTAAAAGTTTTAAAGAAACAGTCAGACAAATGGTGAATGAAAGATTACCTTCACTTATGATACTAGTATCAAATCTTGCGTCAAGGTTTGCGGTCATACAAGAAAAACTTATAGACATAGGTCGCAAATGGAGTCAAAATAAAATAGACCCGAAATTATTAGATATTTTTAATGTGACACTACCCTGTGGTGATAAATGTGACTTCACTTACAGCGAACCAAAAGAGTGTGTTATAAATGAACAAACAAGGATGTTAACAATTATTTTTGATCTTAAAGTTAAGGAATCCAATACTACTATGATGTACGCTGACCCCTTTACCCTATTTGAAAAATCAAATATGAGCAATTTGTTGTGTAAAATAATTTACAACGGGCCACAAGAAATAATGTATGATGAATTGCATGATTGCGTAACTCCAATGCCAAAAACTACAGAAAATATGCAAAACATATTTGTTGTTCCATCATCGAATAGTTGTAGTACACAAGGATTAGGTAACATAACGGAACATTTTTGGAGTATAGATAGATGTGATGACTACGATAAAATAAGGCCTGAAAATGTAATTCAAATTAAACCGAGAGCAGATCATAATTTAATCTATTGTAACACATTAAACATAACGATTTACAATAAAACAATAGATTGCCCTAATTTTCTTTTTGCAATACCTAACACAGCATCATTTAAAATAGCAAATTATAACTATGAATCAAAACAAATCATAATAGATAGCGAGATTGATTTAAGACCATCTATATCCCAGCGTATTAATTTTCATATAATGCCAGATCTACATAACTTTGAATTCGATACATTAACCAAAGAAATAAACACAAAGTTATTATCAATTAAAGCTACTAAATTTAGTCATGACAAAATTAGTAGAATTATAAATTACAGTTATAGCGATATGATTATTTATCTAATAATCATAATACTTTTACTATTTATTATTTTCAACTACTATAAAGTTAAGGGTTTTTATAAAGTCTGCAATAATAAAACATCAAATACTGTAGAAATGAGTAAAGTTAGTAGCATAGAAGAATTTGAAAGTGAAGAGACCAGCAGTGAAAGTGTTGAAATAAAACCATTAAAAAGAACAAAGTTCTATTCACCGCGCAAAGCATTATTGATAACTTCAATTCTTACATTATGTAGCCCTATAACATCGACAAAAACAATAATATTAAATATTGCCTACCAAAACCCATGTGACCTAGCTTTAGGCGAGAATTATACTAGTTTTGAAAAAGATTGGTGTAATCGTAGATTTGTCGATTCATTTATTGAACCTTTAAATAAATTCTGCGAACAATCGAACGACACAATAGTTATTAACAAAACATTATTTTTCAATAAAGTTAATGAAACGCATAGCAAACATAATAAACGAGACATATCCATACCCAATTACACTACTATGAGTTTATCAATGTTATCTGCCAGATTGATTTTAATCAAAAATATAATTAAGCAAATTGGCATTAAATGGAAACACAATCAAATAGCTGAACAATTAATAAATAATTTAGACTTTGCCGATAATATAAGCAATGATAAAACAATCATAGGATATAAACCGCTATCTTGTACACATGATGATACGTGTAAAATCATTAGATTAGAAGTTATTGAAAATAATAAATGGTATTTAACTAATCAATTAAACATAGATCACATTGAGGACATATTAAGCATAATTATTTTGACACTACTATTTATTATAGCTTTAATATTACAAAAACTTAGAATTGTCATTAAAGAAAAAAATTGGGTACTAAAAAATATGACATTCCCAGGTAGACAGCTAAACATTTTAGATGAAATCAATCCGTTAGTCCCACCACCATACCAGGAAAGCGAGGTTAATTAACCATAGTATAAAACAAATTGTAAATAATTGTATAATTAAAATAAGACAAAATAAACAAATAAAAAAAAATAAAAAAAAAAATTTAAATAAACCAAAAAAAAAAATTATATATTTACACATTAATTACCTTATATTTTACTGTACTGTAGCTATATATAAAATATTTTTTTTAATCGGTACCCGGGAACAAATCCCAGGCCGTACAAAGTTTTACACTCTACTATATTATTGTATATACATTATATTAACTACTTATAAAATATTTTTAAATTCGGTACCCGGGAACAAATGCTAGGACGTACAAAGTTCTAGACATCTATATACTATTGTTTATACATTATATATACTGTACATAAAATATTTTTAAAATCGGTACCCGGGAACAAATCCTAGGCCGTACAAAGTTTTACACTCTACTATGTTATTGTTTATACATTATATCAACTATTTATAAAATATTTTTAAAATCGGTACCCGGGAACAAATCCTAGGGTGTACAAAGTCCTACACTTTACTATATTATGGTTTATACATTATATATAATGTACACAAAATATTTTTAAATTCGGTACCCGGGAACAAATGCTAAGACGTACAAAGTTCTAGACATCTATATACTATTGTTTATACATTATATATACTGTACATAAAATATTTTTAAAATCGGTACCCGGGAACAAATCCTAGGCCGTACAAAGTTTTACACTCTACTATATTATTGTTTATACATTTTATCAACTATTTATAAAATATTTTTAAAATCGGTACCCGGGAACAAATCCTAGGGTGTACAAAGTCATACACTTTACTATATTATGGTTTATACATTATATATAATGTACACAAAATATTTTTAAATTCGGTACCCGGGAACAAATCCTTGGTGTACAAGAGAATATATTTATATAAAACACGAATTAAAATTTAAAAAAAAAATATTTACTACACAAATATTTTTAATTAATAAACAAAACTATGTTTAAAAGAAAATACACAATAATATAAATGAAATCAAATATTTTTTATTAAAAAAATACAATATTGAAAATAAAAATTATACATAAAACAATAATGAAATTAAATTGTACACAAAATTATTTAATATAATCATCAATATCAAGAGGAAACGACTCAATAAAAGAAAAGTCGTCCAAAACTTTGGCGATAAAAACAAGAGAGCGGAACAGACAGTCATCATCGGACCCTTGAGTCCCGTATAGACGATGGACACACTTAGACCCAGAATAATGCGAGCCAACTGAAGATGCTTTAATAAAAGCCGAAATAGTCGGTGGTAGACGCTGTAGAGCACTTACTTTCGGTGTAGGGTCAAAGTAATAATCTACATAAAAACAACTAATTAATATCTAAAAAATAACAACATATCCATCAAATATTACATTTGTATTTGAATTCGGTGATTTTATGTGAGACGAAGACACCAGTATGAATCAATGGATCAATTCGAGTGATATCAGTCTTCCGCATTACAAGAAAGACAACCTTATCATTGACATCAACGACGGCTTTCATGTTGATACGCGCTTTCGTGACTTCGGGACTGAATAAAACTTTGTATTTTGGATCAAATCCAACGTATTCTCTCTGACGATAGTGTGAAGTCCCTAAAATCACACGGTTAATAAAAATACCAGAAGACATGGCAACCCAACTATCGTATAGATTTAACCAAGTGTCGAGTTCCAATTGACGCGACAAATCCAATGATTGTTTACTACAGTAAAATGAACAAATAAGGATAATAATTACTGTAGAACTGGTAATGAAAAGCGAAACTTATACCTATCAAAACCATTATGAAGAGTGAACAACCCTAATCTTTGGAGTTCCATAACCAAATCACGTAAAATCATTTCGTGAGGACCAGCACCAACCGGATCTGGTACCGCCTTAGGAATGTCCTGCGCCGACGAACCAGCTACGCGGAAGGATATAGGATCCAAAAAGCGCTGATAATCTTTTTTATGTTTAAAATTAGCCAAAGGTTCAACAGTTGGCAACTCATAACCCGCCCAAAATACAACAACAAAATGCCGTTTGAAATTCCCTCTACCCAACCGAGTAAACTGACCGACAATTGCTTCCAATTCGTATTCATCAGCAATTGGACCCGGTTCGTCAAAACTTCTTGGCGCCCTTTCATACTGACGAATCTTTATGTCAACACAATTGTCCACAAACGAATCATCATTCGGACTAATCAAATCTTTTAAGTCCTGACGACCATTTAAAAAGTCGGCCTTATTTTCACACAAATAGCGCTAAAAGTAATGAAGTAGAAACAAAAAAAAATCAAATTAAACAAAAAAAAATAATAAAATAAAATAAATAACTTACACCAAAAATGTCAACCACTTGTTTGGTCGATCGAGTGACTCTCTTTGGTGACGAATGGGTGGAGATATCAATAACTGGTTCCCGAAGACGAGTCAAAACTACCGATGACGGACGAACCAAATTGCCATTAGACACAGCAGAGAGAGCAGAATTCGGGACCACAGACACAATGGTCTCAGAGGGGACGTTATAAATGGCCGATAAATCATAGTCATCGGGTGTTGACATCGGTCTAGTATTGGTGACAATCGGTGCGACAGTGGCCCTTGTAACATAAGGCGCCGCCATAAGTTCGGGTGAAACGGGAGTCACAAGTCTCCGTTTTCTAACGGGAGATTTATTTCTCTCGTTAAGAGGAATGTCTTCCCGGCGTAATCCACTACCACCGCTACCATCATTAAAAAACTCGGACATCGCGGGGTACGTAAGGAAGAGGAGATGGTGAGGACAATGGGGACTCCGACTGATGAGGTCGAGGAGTGGTAGGCAAAGCCTTACGCTTACGTGAAGACCTAGTCCTCATACTGTATGTAAACAATAAAATAAATAATTAGTTAAAATGAATTTAAATATAAACAAAAAAGTACATATACAATATATATATATATATAATTTATAATACAAACCAATAATAATAATATTTAAATAGTAATTATTAATTATATAAAACCCGTTGTAAATGTTTTAAAAGCATTTCCATAAAAACTATTTAACTAAAAAAAAATACTAAAATAAAACACAAAAAAAATTGTGTAGCAGAGCATGGATTCGATCCTATGTCCTCTTGGGACACTGGAAAGACAGCCATTCAAATTATTTTTGATGAATATTTTAAAATTAGTAAAAGAATTGCACGGCTATACATTGCACGGGACAAACAGATTATTCAATATTTATTACTATTATTATTATTATTATTCCTATTATTATTATTATCATTAAATCAAAACAAAAAAATTAATAATAATATATAATAATAATTATTATTATTATTAAATAAAAAAAAAATTTTAAATAGCTATTATTATTATTATTATTATTATTAAGCAAAACAAAAATTAATAATAATATATAGTTATTATTATTATTATTATTATTAAACAAAAAAAAAATTTAATAATAATATATAGTTATTAGTATTATTATTATTTTTAAACAAATAAAAATAAAATTATTATTATTATTATTATTACATTATTATTAAACAAAACAAAAATTAATAATAATATATAGTTATTATTATTATTATTATTATTATTAAACAAAAAAAAATTTAATATAGTTATTATTATTATTATTATTATTATTATTATTATTATTATTATTAATATCACTATTATTATTAAAGTTATTATTACTACTACCAAAAACAAAAATAATAATAATAATTATTATTATTTAAGAAAAACATAAATATTCATCATTAATATTATTATTATTATCATTACTATTATAACTACTACGACAAAAAATAATAACAATAATTAAATAACTATTACTTATATTGTTATAATTATTATACTAAAACATAATTATTAAATATTATTATTATTATTTAAAACAAAACATTATTATTCGTATTATTATTATTAAATAATTACTAGTATTATAGTTTTATAAATAAAAAAAATATTTCTATTTTTATTATGACAGTTACTAAAAAAAATAATAATTAAATAATACCTAGTATAAAAAAAACAAAATAAATAATTTTACATAAAATAATAATTAATATATTATTATTATTATTATTATTATTATAAATAAAAAAAAACATCTTCATAACTACACTAATTAAAAAACTAATTACTAATTATTATTAAAATTATTATTAATTACTACTACTAGTGTAAAAAATAATAATAATTAAGTTACTGTTATAAAATACTTTATTATTATTACAAAAAAAATTATAACTATTATCCAAACTATAATGAAAATAATAACAATAATTAAATAATTATTAGGAAATCTTATAATAATTAAATATCACTATATATATAAAATTTTACAAAAAAAAAACAATTAAAAAATCGTTTTAATTATCATAAAAAATTATTATAATTTAAAAAAATACTATTAGTACTACTACTACAAACATAAATATATTAATTAAATAATTATTATTACTATCAACTATATTATTAATTTAAAAAAAAACATTATTAATGTTATTATTATTATAAATAATAAAATAAACTATTTTTACTACTACTACACAAAAAAAAAACTAATAATAAATATTATTATTATTTTTATTATCATCACTACCACTATTATTATTATTATTATTATTATTATTATCATTATTATTATTATTATTATTATTTATTAGTACTAATAAAAAAAATATATAACAAACTTTAACATAACTATTGATTATTAATAACTAATTTTCTTTATTAAAAAAACTTGTTTTATATTATGTTTATTTAATATATTAATTACTCTTACAAGACATTTGACAAATATATTATTAATTAAAATAAATAATAAACAAATTATATATATTTATATTAAAAAGATTTCTATCATCATTATTAGTAATGTTAAAGTATATTATATAATGCATATAATTTTATAACATTATTAATAAAAATAATAATAATAATAATTAATGTGTTATTTTATTATTATTTAAATTTCGGTTACACTTTAACATAATAAAATATAAAATCAATTAAAAAATCTATAAAAATTAACTTAATATTTAAAATATAAAATCAATTTAATAGTTAAAGATAAAAATCAATTATACTTAAAATTTTTAGTTTATTAATAGTTATTGATTGATATATAAATTAAAAGCTATTAATTGCTAAATGTTTGCTTAATCTGACCCAACAATTGATCCCATTGTCTATCAAAATCACTAAAATATTAATATTTTTAGCTTAATATAAATTATAGTTATTATAACTATAAACCTATTATTACTATTATAACTAATATATTATTACTATAATTAGTTAGATATTATTATTATAATTGTTTATAATATAATATAAACAATTAACTGCTATTATTACTAATATAATTAATTATAAAATACTATAAAAAATAAAAAAAAAGTTATTATAACCATTATTATTAGTATTAAATTTATAAATAACTATAAATACCTATAATAAAAAAAACAACAACAAAATTAAATATCCATATATATATATATATAATTAATACAATGTTTATATAAACATAAATTATAAGTAATTTTCATACTATTATTAAAACTATTATTATTATAACATTACTTATAATCACATAACAAAAAAACAAACAAACACGTGACAAACACATGTGTTATAACTATCATATTATTATCTATTAATATATTAAAATATATTAATAATTACTTTATTAATACTACTATTACTGTATTATAATTATTATATAATAAACAACATAACAATACTATTGCAAAAAAAAACAATGTTTAGCAAATAATAAAAAAAAAATAATATTAATAAAATCACATTAATTAATATACAAAAAAAAATTATAAATCAATTAATTACTGTATAAATTAATAACATATAATTATATTATTATTTAAATTAATTGATTTTTTTAATATAACATAAAAATACTGTATATTAACTATATATATCATAAAAAAAATACTATTAACTAATATTATACACATATTATATATATATACAAAAATCATTTACAAAATATAATATAATTAATTATAATTAATATTCATTGACTAAAATTAACTAATTGTTAATATATATATAAAAAAAAACAAACCTTTAATTCCAAAAAAGTAGTCCAAAAAAATAAATATTAAACTAATATTATTATCACTATTACTGTTATTATTATTATTGATTTGTTAACTATTAATACTAATTATAACCAAATTATTATAATAATTAATTTTAATTAAAAAAACAAAACAAAACAAAATTTTATATATATTGAATTAAAACCAAAACATGTGTTTCAAATATCATTCAAAAATTGTTATAAAAATACACATAAAATACGCTAATTATATATTAAATACATAAATTATGTTTAATATAAATATATATATATATATTAATTAATAATTAAATTTTAAGTTTATACATGCCTAGGGTCAGGCATTTTATACGGGTGCGGAATATGTAATGTATTTCCCTATTGGACCCCACTATACCCTATTGGGTATTTAGGGTACGCCTACCCGTTCCCATATATAAAACCCCAGTAATGTACTAATCGGGGTCTTCTAGTGTATACTATACTGTACTGTATATTCATATTATTACTGCTATATATTCAATAAAACATTTGTATATTACATTTTGTGTATCAATTATTTTTTTAAAAACTAAAGTGTGTGACATACCCAACCCGCCGGCACCGGGAATACAATTCCCTTCACAGTATTAACACTTTTAATAAATGTCACCTAAAATATGAATTATAAGACTCATATTTGTTACTATTATTAGATTAAAAACTAAATTGTTTGAAATGAATAATAAAACAGTAAAAAATAATTTATTGTATACTCATATCTGCAAATCATTTATTTTTAAACATTTTTATTTTAAAACAATCATATCTGCTATTTACTTATACTTATTGAAACAATTTAGARGTTTAAGTTTCACATTATATATTTAACTTTATATAATTTCTGATTTATTGTGTTTTGATTTAATAAAATCTAGATTTAAAATAACWTAATTTTTAAAAATGAGTTAACGATTTTTTTWATTAAAAAAGGCWATGMGATAGTAATCGCTTWGTATTATAATATTAAATAATAAAATATCAGTTCAAACATATTAATGAAAAGYATGTGAATTTGTATTCAATTATAGTTTTAAAAAATTATATAATTTTATATATATAACTCTTATGTATAAAAAATATTTWAAATTTAAATTTAGTAAATATTAGAGTTCACGATTAGACAATTAGATATATATTTTAATGATTTCTTTATTGTAATCAAATTTGTTTAATAATTTATAAAAATTGCAAACTATTAGGTAATTTACATCATATAGTCATGATTAACATAATAGTAATTTTTAAATATACAATARTTGATATAAACTATTATTATTTTWTAAATACAAATATTAAATTATMCAATTATAATAATAACATATTTTTAATTTTTACTTTTTTAATAGTATTTATTATAAATAAATCTATGCAAAAAAATTAATTAAAAATTAATTATAAATAATTATTTAAAAAATTAATWACTTTGTTTAAATATACAGTATAGTTAAATGTATATTTATRTATTATATATAAATATACAGTATATCGTATTTACTTATATGCCATTTAAAATTAATTTATTAATCTAATTATTATTATAAAAGTTTATTTGAAATTATTTCCCACGAAATAAATAAAAAATATATTTATATTTATGTAAATTATAAATAAATTATTGTATAATTCAAAGCTAAGCAAGACTTATAATTGTGGAGATATACAGTACTGTATTGTATTGAGTCAAATAAAAT